CAAAACCCCAAAACCCCAAAACCCCAAAACCCCAAAACCCCAAAACCCCGTAATTCCTTAATTCAAGAATTTATTCAAGTAGTTAAGTCAATATTAATTATCTGTTCAATAAAATTATTGCTTAGAATTAACCTTGCTGAAACTTTGGTTGTTTTGTTGGGCTGAAACGTAGCCCTAACCTAGCATGGGATTTAGATATTTTTCAATAATTTCCAAAATATCGTTAAACCCTCTAGTCATTTCACTCTCTCTATAATCGACTTGATCAAATTACAGTGTGGGGTGCTATGAACCTACAGGTATAAGTAACTCTTTGCTTCTGTAAAGCAGATGTCTTATCTTAGTCTAAAGCATTTCAACAAATTTTCTCTGTTTCATCTTTGACTACTCTACTTATTCATCCTTTCTCAGGTTTTCCATTCTAAATAAGCCAATATCTTATTGATATTTCTTCTCTAGTTTGCGCATTTAGTCCTAATTATTTCTAATATAATCCTCTTATTACTATTTATTTATTGTTAGTAGCTCCAATTCAGAAATAAGTTACTTTAATTGTTGTTTGTATTTCCCTGAGTACTTTGACACTTTTCTCTCTAATCTGTCTTTGTCTTTTTCATAAGATTCCTTACTGGCATTAAATTAAATACCAAGTTCATAGAGTTCTCTATCCTTTATTGCAAGACTTTAGTGATATTACGCTATCTCTGCCTATAATTAATTCATGAATTTATTTTAGTTCTGAGCATTTTGTTGGTATTAGTTCATTTAATTAGATAGATCCCTAATCTTACCATTTAACTGTATTATATGATCATCTTATTACTTTAATTAATCCTAGAGTCTTTAAATATTGTTATCTTTATCAGACAAGACCTATTTGTATTTATTATTATGACCTTCAAAGGTTTAGCTTTGCTGTTTCAATTGCATTCTTTCAAGATCAAAATATGAAGCCAAATTTTAAATCTCTTAATTTAACTCTGTTATTCTTCCATTCTAGTTTTAGTAGAGCTCTCCTAGTTCTTCATTCTCTTGCTATTTCAATTAAATTTATTAGTTCAGTCGATCTAATTCCCTAACTTAATCTTCTAATTGATTAGAGAGCTACAAAACTTAAATTGTCTATTGCTTGAATTAATATTTTATGCTTTAGTACATACACTTGTAATCATTCTTTATATTCTCACATCTCAACCCTATGTCTAGATCTTCAACTTTCTACAACTCTTAAAGCTTATATTATATATTAGGCTTGACATTCCCTATAGTTCCTGCTGTTTAAACTGAACTTCTGTCAATAAATGTACTTTGATTAGCTGTCGGAGCATTATGGCAAATGGATACATTCATGCTTGATATTTTTGACTAACTTCTTTTACTTTTACCTGTACTTAGTATATTAATTCCGTTTTAAGTATTATTAACAGTCGTTTTATTGCTATAATCTTTTCCAGTATTAAAAGTAGTGTTGAATTGAGACAGTATCTTCTCCATTGAATTTAAAAGAGATGACATCTTTAGGTTATCTGAGATTAACGCATCATTTTGTTGCTTTAATTGCAAAATCTATTGATTCTAAAAAGCAATCATATCATGAATTTCATCTTGATTGTCAAGTTACTCAGATTTAGGTGTTTCACTTCTATGAAGATCTGAAGATTAGTTTCTGTATAATTAGGTTATAGCTATTTCTAATTAGGATCTTAAATTTCTTTCCTCCTCTAATTCCTGCTTGAGATTCTATACTTCCTACTCGTATCTTTCACTTATTTATTGCTTTACTTTTTAGGGAGAAAATTGTTTTAGCTTAGTAATAAGTTCGGCTATATTTTATTTCCCATGATTACCGTGAGAAGATGAAATATAATTCTGCTATTTTCCAATAATTGACTGGTTTCTATTATCTTTGGAGTTTAAAAGTAGCTCTTATTAAGTGTTAATGCTCTCGTTTTCACTATTTAGATGCATCAAAAGACTCTCCCTTTTAGCCTATTCGGTAATCCTGTTTCGAATACCATCATTGACCTAAAAACTAGTTCTATTATAAACATAGTCTGTATTATTATTGCTATAATGCTAAATTGGATCCTAAGCACTTGTTCTCTTATATCTAACGCTTGTATCAATTGCCCTCTGATCCTATTAGTTTCAAAAGTCTAGATGATGATCATCCTAATCTTAATTAATTTCTTCACTACTTTCATCATCATCTTCTTCACTGAATTGGTGCTAAATTTGAGAAGACTAATCTTGATTAATTGATGTAGTCATATGAACCTGCGATGGATTCATATAGTTATTTTGTCTCATCTAATTCATTATTTATTGGTTTCCCACTAAAGTTTGACTTTATCCTAAAATTTGTTAATATTTGGTAATATACTTTAGTTCTAACTATGATTATGATTCTAATCCTCTCTGTATTACTGATATCTATAAATTTTAGTTTGATCTTAAGAGAACTAATGGTGATCATTTGACTAATCCTCGATTCTGTATACTTATTCATTTTAGAAACTTGTAGAGATATTATACTTATCTGCCTGTCTTTCAGCTTCATCCTCATTTTAAATTGTCATATCATCGTATTCCTGAACTTTTGGAATGTTTTGTAAATACTCATATGAGCTATAGGGCCTCTCAGACTGAAGTTACTGATGCTGTTATATATTTGAAATATTAGACATTTAACTTATAATTAACTGATAAATTTAATCCTTGAATAATCTATTAATTTTCTCAGCATGGGGTTTTGGGGTTTTGGGGTTTTGGGG